TGAACAGAACAAATGTGCATGCGAACTTAACTTACGGAAAATACCTAAGTTTTCATATTCTTAAATTTGTGTGTTACCATATTTAGCTACTAAGTTAGGACTTTAAGTAAGGAACATAAGGAATGAAAATAAGAACTATAAAATATTCTAAGTATTTCACAATCGCCATCCGTAACATAAATCTCAAATCTTTAATTTACAAACCGCAGTCATTGGTAGGGAAACATTATCCGCGTATTGAACTGTTCCGCGTTTCTACGAAAATATGTGTTTGACGCATTCAACTCCATATCCACCCGCTCCGAGATCGGTATAGATTGGACCTTCGCGGACAATGCTTACTGCTTCGAAACGTTTCAAAAGAATTTTCCTACTTTAAGAATAAAATATGCTCTCATATTTATAGAAATTTTATTTAGTTGTCGCAACAAGCTGTCATCCAAATACACAAATATTAGAGTTACTATTTTCTATTGTTTTATAACAAACTTGATATTGTGTTAAATAAACACAGACATAAAACGCACATGAAAACAAATACTGTCGTAACACAAAATTGTGAAATTGAGAAAACACGATTTGGTTGAAAAAATTACTGAATGAAACCAATAAATATATAATCTCGATTATAAATTAATAACTAAATATTATGCATAAATAAAAATTATCACAATACGATCCATTAGTATTTTTTAATTTTCAAATCGTGTTTCTCAATTTCATAATTTTGAGTTACGACAGCATTTGGTTTCATGTGCGAAGTTCATAAATAAATAAAATATAAATTGTATGTTTTTAGATGTTTAGCTTTACAAGAAAAAATCGTTATTTTAAGATAAATATAATTTGTATAACGTAAATTGGGGTGCCATACAGGGAGGGTTGGTTACGTTACCCATGCAATGCAATGATTAAATGAATATGAATACGGACTCTATAGTCATATATTCATACAGATTTCTCTAAGTTGGAAAAGGAGAGCCACGAGAAATAGCAACTATACTTCTAATCTGTAATCCTGCGTTTTACATCTAACTTACAATCTTTAACTTTCAGGATCTATATAACGGAGCGAGAGATAGCTGGTTAAGCATTTAACAATTTTCTTTCGTATTACTGAGCACTTATAATAATAATAATAAGGTTAAATTTTCCAACATGTATAAAATTGTGAATAAACGATCAAATATGGGTAAACAATCTAATATGTTTATTTTTTGATGTAACATAACATGTTTTATGTAGTTGTAATACAACATAAACATGAAATAATTTTCTGACCTAAATCGCGTATATTTGTTGTGTATATATCTCACATAGGCAGTCAGTCAGCTGTGGTCATGGGACCTGTACTGCCGTTGTAACAAAAAAAGGTACAACTATGCGTACTTTACTGAGCAGTTGTGCCTTTTTTCGTTCCGAGGGCAGTGTAAAAGATCCGAAACGTTGGTTTGTTTGAAAAAAAAAACAAACAGTATGTGATTTAGATTACAAAAAATCGTTTCATTTCCTAGATCGAAAATCGAGCTTAGGTATGGGAGACAGGAACCCAAACTACGTATATCCTGTGCTACCGCACTCCTGGCTCCCCTCCCAGTAATAGTACAGGCAGTGACGATAATGTGATACGATACAAAAGAAATCGGAAAATACTCTTTCTGTTTATCTAGGCAGTGACATAAGTAGAAGGTCAGTATGATTTAAACTTAATTTATAGTCATATTGCTAATTTCTATATTAGGAAAAAAAGAAAATGCATTACGTAGTATATTAACTGCCTCTGTGGCCGAACGGTTACCATACTGGTCTGCCCCGCAGATGTCCCAGGTCAAATTCCCGGACCGGAAGAAATATGTGTATAGCCTACATTTATTTCTCTCGTGAGTTTGGGTGTAATTTGTGGTTGACCATGTTTTTGTCCATGGCACCCGCGACACAGGGTTTCCCTAGTGTGGGGATATGGGTGGGTGCGTTATTATTCTTGTATTATAAATAAAACACTACATAACGCTAGCAATAAAAAGTTTTTCTGGAGTTGGTTTTCTGGATGTTGTTAAAATGTCGACATCAGTGCTCTTTGATAGCCGGATTCACACAATGGAGGAGTACTTACATTCATTGTTAAGTCAATATTCAAAGAGCACAATACAAATAACTTGAGAACTAAAGCACAATTTAAATTGGCAGGCCATCAATTTAAACCTCTTAAGAATACAAGGAAAAGAAAATTGACAAAAGGCTACTGTATTCTACACCAATAAAACTACAAGTGCACTATTTAAAATAAGATTTTAGTGTTTTTTTTTGGGTCACTTTGAAAAAAAAAACAAGTATGATTTCACGTGTTTTCACTATATTACTACATCGTTAATTTCACGTCAAACCGAACACTTATTTTAATTGACGATACTGATTTGTATTTCTAATTTTGCAAGTGCATGCAAATATATGTAATATTATGAAGTAACGAAGTAATGTCTCAAGAAAACTTTAAAAAAATTATTAGCAAAGAATCACAAAAACTACCATTGTGCAAACATTAAAACAAATGCACCATAGAACCTATTAGTCGCAAAAGAAAAGCAAAATGTCCGTTTAAAGATCTTTTATTTAGTGGTATATCTGAGAGGACATTGGCAAACGCCCATATAAATTTGACATAATTTTTATGCGTCTGTTTAGGAAAAATATGTGAAAATATAGGGTTGAAATTCCTGAACCAATTTCGTTTTGGGTGTACTACTCTCAGAAGTCAGGAATTAAAGATATTCCAGTTTGAAGTTTTGGAGGTTATGAGTTACGTAATTGAATAAAATACATTCGGTGTATTATTGTACCAAAATTATTAAATTAAAAATTATAAATATAATTATGTAGAAGCCTTGAACAGAGTTAATAGAAGCTCAATGGTGCTGTGGATTTGTGACGTGACGAAAGTTTAGAGGAAATATTTTGAATACTGGTATGGTCAAATGGCATGAAGTTAAGTAACAAAAAAACTGAGATAATTAATAACATACCACAGACTATTCTACTAGTAACTCGACATAAAAAAATTTTGTGAAATGTGGCATCTATCCCCGATTTTGGGAACTTCTTTGTCAGATTTACCATATTCTCGAGTGGCATTTTGGAGAAGAAATTAATTATTGACTTTATTGTAATAATGAAGTTGTTAATCTTTTATTAGTTTATTACAAATCAGTCGAATCAGTACATTTGATATTACGTGAACTAAATGTGGACCATATCCATACCGAGGTAAGGAAATTCCTTTTTTGGCGGCTAGATGTCGCTCAACGTTAACTCATAGTTGTAGACATTGACCTACTAATGTAGATATCAGTCTGGTTACATACTAATTAGTCATTAGAATTCCTTTTAAATATGACTTTATTTCCAGATTTAGATAGGCCGCTATTATAATTTGGAAAACCTAATGAATTTATTGTATTCAAACTTGTAATTAAATCATTTGAAGATGCGAATGAATTCTTTTATTTCTTATATATTATCTTTGCGTTTCATATTCATAAATTATTATTTTAGATCTGTTTTTGCGGCTCGGCCCTGGATTCTAACGCTATATAGTAAGTTTGTAAACTTACTTTGATTGGCACCATTTAAATATCAATATTTTTTTAGTGGTAAGATAAAACTTCAAACCAATTAATAGGTAGCACATACCAATAATAATATTTTAATAAAATAATAGGTAATACGTAGGTATGGACAAGATTTTTCACATTAATTATATAAATAAAACATAAATGTAGCTAGATTGATTTGTAAGTAATTACAATACTGCATACAAAACAAAATAAGATAAATATAAATTTAAAGGATCACATGCATTGTTGTCGTTTGGATTAAATGAGTATTTTGTTATTTTTTACTTTTTAGTGTAGACTTTTTGTGGTTTTTGAAGATGGGATGGGATTAGATATGATTTAAAAAAAAAATTGTTTATTACTTATAAACAAAACTATTCTTCTAAATACTGACTATAGAGTAACTGCAGGTTACACATCAAAAATATAAATTAAAATACAACACAATAATTCCAGTATTTCAGGCAGAAGTTTCGTCCACTGTATGTGTAGTACTTCAATGAATATTAAATAAATATACTTTGCCTACTCCTGAAACCAGCTTGAATGTTGTTCATATTTTTTTTGTTTTTTAATGATATTGAGTAATAGGATGAACAACTTGTACACCTGTTGGTAAGCAATACTTGATGATAATAGTTGCAGTGGCATGAATTCGTGAAGAACTAAGGGGCACTGTCATTGCACCTTTCACACGGATGTGATTAAGCTGACAAGTTCCGAGTTACAAGCAGTCAGCACTTGTCAACTTATCGCACCACCACCCTTAACCCTTTAAAATTGGATTGCACAAATGCTCACATTATTGCTTAGCGGAAGAAATAGGTAATGAATATTTTTGATGTTAAATTATATGTATTAATATAATAGTGTCCTTTTTGTGATACTTAATTGTTGGTGTGTACGTAACCATTACAGGCCGTGGTAGACTATCAGTATAGGTTTATTTATTATATTCCATAGTCCACTGTAAATGAGTCATAGGTCCATTTTATAAATTTGTTTTATCATTAATATGTATGGTTTTTTATTTAATTAAATGTAATTTTTTTTTAATTAAGTGCTATGCTATGGCATAGCCAATATAGTAATTTTTATTTGGGATTTTAGATTTCCAAACTTTTCGGCTCACCGCCCACTTAACCGAGATAAAAAAATTTCATTAACCACTACCACAATTTTTTTTTAATATCAAGTGACGGGTGCTGCATGCTGCATGCCTGTCCACAAATAATTGAAAACACATATTTTTGTGATATTAACAAAAAAATCACAAGTAAAAAAATTTTGTGCGGTTATAATTAGATAATTTAGGTTTTATTCCCAAATGCAGTAGCACCTCCTGGACAGCATCAACACCCCCAATTGCTTCAGAGGCCCCTACCTGATGCCCCCTAGGACTCTAGCGCCCACTGGGGAGCGCTAGTGACCACTTTGGGAAACTACGGTGTCAACAAATTGCAATGTATATTACAACAATGGATATTATGACTATACATAACCATTCTAGTAGGTATGTAAAATGACCAATTAAAATATTGTAAGCAAACCATAAGCTTATATAACATTAAGAATGACTCCATATTCATTACAGGTTGGAACTTGGTTAAAAAACAATGGTTTTAGGGTTAGGAAACAAATGAAATATACAAAACAATTTCAATTCTAAGCAGAATACAACATAACATATACGCAAGTCAGTCACACAGCTGGAAACAAGATTAAAAGTTATCGCCAGCCTCATGAAGCGACCAATTAGGCAAAAAGTAATCGTGCGTGGCACAATTACTTTTTGCCAAACTATGGAACAACGCGTCCTTAACACTACATGTTTAAAACTTTAAACTGACCTGGTAAACTAACGGCCAAGCATTTCGCTTGGCAATGTCGAGGTATTCAGCTTCTATATTACTCATTATTAACTTGTTTTCCTTCATGGCAATATAACCATTTCACAGGACAAAATGTTTATTACTAGCCGGAAACCGCGACGCGCGCGAATTACACTACCTCCTTAAAATTATTTAGGCAATTTGGAAAGTTGAGCTTATAATATATCACTTTCTGAACGAGTTGTTAAATAATGCAACTATTTTCACGATAATAAAGCACCGTAAATTTACTAAAAACAGTACATTACTACATTGTACAGCAGGCGACAGTCCGTGCAGTACTCGTAGCACCGCTGTTCGGGGTTACCAATTTTAAATCTAAATACTAACATTGACGTACAACTGAACAGCAGTTTTTTTCACGTTTGGACACAATTTCATTTGATGCACAAATTAAAAAGATATAGACTGATCTTCACATAGTCGATGACAATGGCACATGGTTGTCTTAAAAATTATTATTCATTCTAGCCTTTAATTGTAGCTTTCGGACAATAACGAAACGTTACTTGTTGCATCCGTGACTATGAAGACGGAAGTAGTAATGTAAACATCATGATTACAAATTTGTCGTTCTCGTGATAGGTGCTATGTCTAGTAAGTATAAACTGATATATTAATTTAAACGATTTACACAGTACCACCAAACAGAATAGAAAAAACTTATGACATCATGAAATTCCTGTTGTTAAAAAAGAATTTTCATTGTGTGAGGTTTACATATTTTCAAATGCATTTTTACCACGTCTCGACTATAAGAATAAGTGCCGATGTTACATAATAATCTGAGTTTTTATGTGAAGCAACTGAAATATATTTTTTTAAATAATTCTGAGTATGGGATAGATATTTTAAAAATAACCACATTTTGGTTCAATTTGTGTTTGTTTGAGAATAAATACTAACCGATTGAATGCTTGATTGATTACTGGCTTCGTTTTTAAATTGATTTGCATTAGCATGGCATGAGGATCACTTTATACATCACATATTATAATTTATTCATCCACCGTAAAAGCAGTAACACAAAATAGTTAAAAAAAAATCGTCATCTTGGCAGTTTTCTTAATTGGTCACATTTATTTATGTCGTGATCAAAGAGAATTTCGTCCGTTTAATAAACTTTTACTCTGATGTTGCTTGGGACAAAGTATTTTAGCAATTCCATTTAACTTGCATTGCATTAGCATTTAGCAAAAAGTGTTACCAGATCCACTGATTTACTTACCTGTAGTGTTTTTTTTTTGCCCCATATTCTAATGTAGATCTACTGTATTTGGCCAAGTCTACAGATCTACTAATAAATAATAGAAACTTGTCCTGATATTTTATTATGAAAACTAGGTTATCACACATTATAATATAAAAATAACGGGACTTACTCGCGTAGTATTTTAGTCGGAAGCGGTCTGACTAGTTTCGACCATAATCAATGGTCCTCCCGATATAACCATGCTTTAAACATTAGACCATAGAAATAAATAGTAGTCTAAGCCTTGAACACATTTCTGCTCAAAAATCATTAAATGTAAGAAGATTCAGACGGTTATTAACCATTAAAGCATGTACAATGAGGTTGTTTACGTGTTTCTCATTTCTACTAATTCTAGAACACATTTACTAATTATTATTTCTTTATTTTTCTCTAATCTTACTTTATTAATTGTGGACTTATTTTTTTTACTCTGGTATGCTGGAAAAAATTGTACTCATAATCTTAATTTTAATTCTTATTGGTATTAAAGATGCACTGTTATTTTCCGGTAATAAAACATAATGATTATGTATGGAAGATAACATCAAAACATAAATCTGCAATAAAAAAAAAGGATTAAATTAAAAGGGAACCCAATGAAGAATGGAGATGAATTGCTAGAAACAAGAAAAAAATAAATAAAAAAAATGAAAAATTGTCTATGGTTGCCAAGTGGACTTTCTGAAATTTGACGTTTTGAGTTTTTTTCGCGATTCTTAGGTGAAATTACTGCAATTTGGAGGTTTTCTGACTTTCATTAATCGCAGATATGGCTTCACCTCGGACGAGACGCAAATTAAATAATATCCGGACTATAGACGAGAATAACGTAAGTAAAATTATGGAGAAAAGTGATTCCCATCAATTCAAATAGAGCGACGTGGTTATTTTTGTGGAGTTTTTTGGTTAATACTACTTGTGTTTTGTGCAGAAATGCTTCGAGTGTGGTACCCTGAATCCTCAGTGGGTGTCAGTGACATACGGGATTTGGATTTGCTTAGAGTGCTCGGGAGTTCATCGGAGCCTTGGGGTGCACTTATCTTTCGTACGATCAGTAACTATGGACAAATGGAAGGACATAGAGCTCGAAAAAATGATGGTAAGTGTGTCAGAACTCTCGATTGATGTTGCGAAAGCGTTTGCCAATCAAGCGAAATGTCTACCCAGATTTGCCTGGACAGCTACTGGCTTGTGCTATATCCACAATTATTATACACATGGAATTGTTCTTACCGACACTTCTACAACACTGACGAGCGTTTAGGTATTTACCACACGTCATAGAATACAAAATGAATTGATATTTGAAATATTTTGTTATCAAAATTAAGAGTTAATATTTATTTATACTAAAAACTACGTAATTTTTGTGTTCACTACTGATTATGGTTGCTAATTCCTGAAACTACAGATTTAAGAACTTACTTAAGTAACTTAATTTGTACCTAAGTCTCCTTCATCATATCAGCTTACATGCATCTACTATTGGACATAAGGCTCCCCCAAAATTTGCCCCATCAGCCAAGAGTTCTCCTGCAGACATGACAGACCTACTGCTACTTCTTACTGATTTTGAAGTCTCCTTCATGTAAACTTAAATGACCCACCAGTATAGTACAAAATATGCAGTGCGGTTGAAAGAAACTTTCTATTATTAAGTAATTAACAATTAGTGTTATGTAAGATATATTATAGAAATGCTATAGCGGATGTGTAAATTATATATATATATATATATATATATATATCATTAATGATACTGTTGAGTGTCTAGTTGTCGTGGTCAAATATGTATATGAATTGTAAGAAGATTATTATTGTTATTATATAGAGTATCTGAAACACAAAAATTTAAGTAGAAAATCTTTTTGGGCATATAAAGTAATTTCTTGTGTATTTATAAATTTTTTTATCGTTAGATTTATATGCTTGAGTATAGGAATTTAGGGATATATAACCGAAAATTTGAGTAACATTGAAAATATGTGGACATTTCCTTATAAAATACTGGAACTTCTCGGAACTATATAATATTGATATATTTCAGTATATTAGCCACAGATTATTATTTCCTATTAAGTATTTGCCCAATAAGGAATAATAAATTTATATTAATTATTATGAATTATTGTCTCAAAAATAATATTATACTTGTGTTTCTATAGGTGCAACTTTCTTAGCAAAGAGTTTACAAGAGTGTTTTGCATGTATTTTTGCTGTCAAAGAAGTAACTGCTTTCTCTTTCACACATCATAGAAAACAGTAGTGGCTATCTCTTTCACTAAGTATGAAAACAAGATAAGACAAAAAATAGAAACCACTGCTGTGTCAAATATTGGCAGTTTCTATTGTTTGACATCTTATTTCCTAACAAAACAGCAGCTGCTAAAACACTTATATTCCCAGTGTCTAGAGGAGTCTTGAATTTTTTTAAAGATATTACGTACTCATCAGATCACCAGACACTGTGCATCTTATTTATTTCACCAATCTTTAATAGATTTCTCCTTTTGAGAGAACAGTTACTTTAGTAAGTTCATGTGTACAAACATTGTAATTATTATAATACATGCATATAAATAAAACTGAATATGCCTATATTAATTATATTTCTTGTCTAAATTTTATAGGCAAAGATGTCATAATGTGCATCTTGGGTATTTTTGGTCATACCACAAAATGGTTATGTCCATACTAAGAAAACATTCAATCTTTAGGTAAATTTACTCTCTTAATTCCGTTCACTGGTAATTATATGATAACATTTAATTTACGAAGGTTATTTATTGCTTTAATGTTGAGATGGAGTTCATTAAAAAGAATTAATTCTTGGGCACACAATAAATTACTAAATAGGGCCATCTATGGGTTGACACAGAGGTTATAAAGGCGAAAGCTTGGTGAAACAAATAGATTCATTTATATTGTGACTATAGTCATGAAAATGTACGTCTTCGTAAATAATAACAGATGTTCTTAGTAGGCACTCATATTGATGAAGGCCAGTCCTAATGCGTATAATATATGCATGGAACTAGGTCAAGCATGAGATTTGATCTTCTAATATTAAATTGCCCACAGAACAATGTTTTTTTTGTTCTGTGAATTTGCCTATATCTGCAATCCTAGATATGGAATACATTGTCATGATCTATCCGTCTCAAAGACCATATTTATTTTTAGTGATGCGTGTGCAAACACTAGCTATGTGGAAACTTATGATCAAATAATTTTGAAATATAATATGTACAGATAATTTTATATGATGAACAGTGATCAGATTTGTGGGAGTTAATTTAGGTGAACTAAAGAATTTTTTTATGTGGACATTCTTTTACAAATCCTGGGACTTCTCAGAACTGATTATATTTCAATATGCATATTATATATTGAAATTTGAGTACCTTGCATTGGCGACAAATTATTATTTCCAATTAAGCATTTACTACAAATTATTGTCGCAAAAACCAATATTGTAGTTGTGTTTTTATAGGTACTTACATGTTTTAATACTTTAGCCATTTAAAAAATAAACATGAGCAGACCTATATTTTGGAATGTTTAGAAACAAACAGTAAAAAACATTTATGTGCATTGATGACGAAATGAGTGTGTCCTCACTAAGAAAACGTTCATACTTTACGTAAATTAACTCCTTCAGTTGTGATCACTAATGATGAATTATAGAGGAAATTAAATAAAATTAAGAGCATTTAGCGTATTGTGATTCTTTGTTGATCTACTTTTAACGTCTTTTGTGAAACTAAGTCATGGTGATGATTTTAATTAGCGATTATTCTTAATTGATAATTGTTATTGGCCATTGTAAATGTAATGGTAATTGACTATTTTTATACATGTTAAAAGGCTCAGAAAACGAGAGAAATCACCTGGAATGAAATCGAAGACCCAAGTGCGGTATTAGAAACAAATTTCTACATTTACCAGTGGCGAGGCATCAAAATAACTTGATTTTCACCGGCTTGCCTAAAATTTTCCACGTATTATCAAATACTACCTTTATTACTAAATTGTATGTGTAAAAGAAGTTAACCAGCAAAATGAAGTATATTTATTAGTACCTGTGTGCTAATAAATTGTGTTTAATTATTGGCAAGGCGCACTTTTTCTTAAGGGAAGTGCTTTTTGTTTTGCTCCGGCTTTACTAACTACAATTTTCACGCCTCGCCACTGACATTTACACAAGATTTTCACACTCCTGCGATTACCAAATAAATAAAAAACAGCTTGCGAAATGTGAATTTGAAATGAACAAACATCCTGCTTGTTAAATTGTCACACTACTTGACAAACAATTGCCGGGATGCTGATTGCCTTTAGTAGGTATCTTATTTTTATTTTATTTGTTCTTGAATGCTATAGATTTTAATTTTATCATTGACGCAACGGCACAATGTTAGCAAGCGTAATATACTCTCCTCTGTAGCTCAGTTGTAGACCCTTTTAACGTGTTTGTTTTATTAATCACTTGCATTTTTAATTAGTTTTAAGTTAAATATGACAGTTTACCTTTCTTACTTGAACTAGCAAGTTGCAAATTTTGTTTCAGTGCTTTGCAACTTGTAATGCATTCATTTCAATAGACTTGTACCTGGAATGTATAATTGTGAATATGCTATGGTTGCAATAAAATGACCAGAGAAAATTTTCTGGGGTTCTGTTGTTTATATAGTTAATTTTTTAAGCAAGGATTAGGCCGTTTGCGCTCTGCGTACGTTCCGAATCCGAGAAAATGCAAATCTAAAAAAATTCGAACTGACTTCGGATGTCGCTTGTGCACTAATTCCCATACGAATCCGTGAAAATATCTTGTACTCCTGGAGATTTCTACGAACCATTTATACTTTCAATCGCCGTCATCTTTTGGCATTGTTAGTACTATGAAGACGGAGAAGACATAAAAAGTTTAGAGTGCACCTTCTTCTGGTGAAGATTTTATAATGATTACGATGAACACATAAGATTGAGAACAAAAAAATTGTTCATCGTTATTACTGAATGGATGTGCCCACTTTATAATTTGATTTTATACATATCGATATGTGCTATTTCCTTTCATCCATCCGCGCAGCCGTCACCACCTCGTTTGGATTCGGATCGAACGCTGTGCGGAAGCCTTAATACAAATAATCCCGTAGTTACTTCGGTCCGCAAAATTAATGATCCGAAATGAAGGAATTGTCAACTTCGGAAGACGGAATTCGGCGAATATACTACGTAGTACGACTAGTTCGGACTGTCATTTCTCGGATGCGTAACTGATGCGGATTGGAGCTGTAACTGTATTATAGATCCATTTCCGTTTCACACCACATATTAAAAACATGGTCGCTAAATTGAGGTGAGGCTTTAATATAGAAAAACAAAAATGTTGATGCAATTGAAAAATTTGAGTCAATCATCCTATTGTGGATGTGTGATAATTGTATATGCGCAGTTCTCTTCTATTTTCATTTGTAAAGTCTATTGAGAGAACAACAATCACGTGACTCAATCTTGGGAAGTCCCTGTACTATGAGTGCGTGAGCAATGAAATTGAATGAAAATAGTTCATACGTCTTTTTTTTTTAATGAATGGCTTGTGAGACTACTTAGTCACAATTCTGCCAGTGTCCGTTTTCTAGTTTCATAAACGTTACGGTGTGTTAGAATTTTATTCGGTGACAGAGGGAGAATCGAAGAGATTTTTGCACAAATTGAATTCTAGAACAAAAGAGACAGCACAAATTAGACAACACAAGTCGTTAGAAACATGTATGTATGTTAAATATAGTGTTTATGCATTAATAATATTTACAGTTTAATATAATTTATATGTATGAATTTAAAAAGTTGATAAGAAGAAATTAAAAAATATGATACATTTTTGGGTGAGAGGATAGGGCCAAAAGGCATTTAAAGGAAATAGGACGAGGGATAGAGGGAGGGAGGATGTCATATAGGGAACACCGTAATTTAGGGCAGTCAAAGAATATATGGTCCACGTTTCCTTCGTCTAGACCGCATTCACACAATGAGTTATCCTTTATCCTAAATTTAGCCAAATGAATAGGAGTACACGCGACATGCGCGTTTTATTTTGGTCGAGTAATACTCATTTGACACTGATTGTTTCGGACGGATGTCAGATGGAGAGCGGGAGTCGTCGAGTATATAACCATTTGATAATTTTTGATTTGATAATATCTGTCTCGAGCATTTCAATCTTGAACGGTCTTACTCTTGTTTATTATGAAGTTTTATATTTTATTCCGGTACCTGTCACAAGTGTTGAAGAAGATACACGTGTCTTGGAAAAGATTCTGCGTTGTGACCTAATTTAATACGTTGTCCTGTGATTGATAAAGTTGATAAAGTGACACTTGAGGCGCCATTACCGTGCCGATATTTTTACGGAACCTTTATGGCTTTTTAAATGTATGCCTGACTTAATAGATGAGACTAGCACAACCATTCATGAATATTTTCTGTGGTGCAAGTGTAATTCGCTCTGTTCACATAAAGATAATTGAATATCAATTCAATAAAAATTTAAACATGTATTGTTATATTAACCTACGATAAAAAATAAGAAAGAAAAATAAATATAATTATGTAGTGCAGTTTAAATAGATAAGTCAGGTTTTTTTAATGCGGAACACCCCCTGGACAGCATCAAACCCCCCCCCCCCCCCCATTGCTTTCGAGGCCCATATCGCCTGCACTAGCTGCCTGCCTAGGACTCTTCAGCGCCCTCTGGGGTCGTGACCATTTTGGGAAACTATTCTCTGGTGCTTCGTTGTACACCCTCTTTACCTAGAGATTTATACTTGTCCCGCTAGATGGTGTTACTTTGAGTATTTTATACGCGTCATGGGGCCATTGCTTTAACAACTATTATGGTGCGTCTACATAAAGAGGCTGGGTGGAATATGGGTGGAATGCATTGGGGTCGTATACGTTAGATTCATGTGATTAACTCATGGAAGACTATACTTATCACCATGGTATTGGTCCGTGTTATATAAAACTTTTTCAAAGTGCACACTCATTAGGACTTTAAAATGAGTATTTTAATGAAAATATTTTTGTTTATTTGGCGTTATTACAATTAATTACAGTTAATATTTTGTTTTGGCACAGGTGGGCGGCAACCAGAAAGCACGCGAGTTCTTCGAAAGCCAGCCGGACTACAAAGCTGGTTTGACTATCCCACAGAAGTACAATACTAAGGCGGCTGCTATGTATAGACAGAAGGTATAATAAAATGCATACGGTTTCTAACAAAAATACCCAACAGTAATTCAACTAGTGTACGTAAACACAACAACACTTTCATAATCTCAAAACAATATTTACGTTATACTGAGTTATATTTATCTCCTGCTATTGTTAAGGGACATTTAGTCCTCTTTGTCGCAGTTTGTTCGCAAGAGACCTTTTTTTTTTTTTTGATGACGGGGGGAAATCTTTATGGATACCCCTGAGCCCAGGGAGACTCAGGAGTTATGTGGGGACTCTCCCTCCACACTGGAAGGCCTACCCCACTAAAACCCCCCCGGGTTTCTCTCTCGCCGGTTGAGTCGGCGCCGTGGGATCAGTGAACATTCACCACGACGCCGCCCGGCCGCCCTAGCTTGCGCCAGGGCTCCCGCGCCAACGGAGGGACGAGTCGGTTGTCCTCCGACCCGCCCCCCAGACGAGTGAGGCCGTGCAATGCAGGCTCCGGAGTCCCTGTCCAGAGCCCGCTGGTTGGTCGCAAGAGACCTGCACCGGTCATGATGCCGCGTTTTAATGATTCGTTACTCAGTCAATTGACATATCGAGCACTATGACAAATACTAATTTACTATTTCTTAGCATTGACGTCGCTTCTGTGCAATACCGCCGCCGTTAGTTGAACATTCTTATCTATTTTATTATATCCTGTGACATTTTTTAAAGAAAGTTGTTATGTATACCAACGTGATCAATAAAAAAGGTGGATCTGTCACTATTTTCACTCGTTCCTAGGTGGATGAGATATGAAGTTACCGCAAAAGAAAACCAAATATTTTTTAATTTAATTTCTTTAAACGTTATTTGCTCGGTTTTGTGTTTTTGTCTCTAGCGTCCTTTCAACTAACGGCGGCATAACAGTACGTGCATCCAGGAAAAGCGATAATTACCGTACACGTATCGCTCATTTAGTGCAACATTGACTTAATTGCAATTTTGGCATAATTGAATTAAGACTTAATTAATTACATATTAACATCCTTTATCCAAATTTGCCAAAATTACAATTACATCAATGTAGCACCAAATAAGCGGTATGATGAATACGAACCGTCAAAATATGTAATAAATCACAGTGTTAGTACTGGACGGTTCTGTAGCCTCAATTTGTACACCGTGTGCGTATTTCACAAGTGCGCTGCGGTTTCTGCCTTGCGGCAAATACGTGTAAAGAAATGAATTATAACAAATGTGTTTTCATCAAAACGTTTGTGTCCAAACGTCCAGAAAAAAACTAATTGTAGTATTTTACTACTTATTATCATTATCAACTCATTCTCGCAACGTTACAGGCCATCGAGTATATAACCAGAAATAGAGACGAAACGAGGGCCATATATTCCTGTTAACACATTAGCGAAACAGCTCTTATAAATATCAACTCCCGTTTGTACCGAAATATAGACAGGCCAACTACTGACCTGTGTGTACGTCTCCGTATATTCCAAAAAATATTCTGTATTTATTGTAATAAAGATATTATCTCTAACAATGCCGTGCTGTCCTGTTCGGTGGTGTGGGAAAAACAGCAAAACATATATTTACAAAACAAACGTAAATCACATTTCATCGGTGATTAAATATGTAATTTTGCAATTTTCGTCCATTATAGCAAAGCTCAAGTTTACTGGTCGATTTGAAGTGAAACAGTTGACGACACCCATTGATGACACCCGTCAATTGTTTCGAACTCGGGCTAGCCAATCGGAGCGCAGTTGTTACAGTAATGATATCGCAGAGTTTTCAAACAAATTAAATGACATTTCGTCTCTATTTCTGGTTATATACTCGATGTTACAGGCTAACCAGACCGTAACACGCTCATACTCTACTCCATACGAAATCACCCAAGAGGGACTCTTACACTCTCGCGCAGATTCTCGATTTTTGTGGCAAACGCTTCTCTTGGCAGTGACTCATCCATTGTTTACGCGTTTGTTTGCCGATTCCTTTTTTTGTAATGGATATTCAAGGCCAAGGTATGTACCTACTTAAATTTTGAAAACGTCACTTGCTTACAGAATTGTCATTTAGTAATCCAAGTACTTTGAGCCATGTACATGGCATAGTTGCCATCAACTTTTTGGGTCAATCTTGATTTTCAAATGGCTTCTTAAGCTTTTTTAACCTTCCATGACATCCTATTAAAATTCCCCTTGTTTTTCTTTTTTGAGTTATTTGGGTAATGTGTGTAGTAATCCGCTATGAAGCTGTTTTTTTTTTGTTTCATTTTCAGATTCGATTCGTTCCAATTCTGCGTCTTAAACTTTGGTACAAATACAACAACCTGAGATTGACGACTTCTGAGCGGACATAGTGTACATATATGCTTGAAGAAATATAGAGAACTGTGCGCATAAATGATAACCGGCATTGTTCTCTTGAACAATGCAACAGCGTTGACGCTACATGTGTGGTATGGTATACCAGGATAAACTTATTGTTTAAAACGTATTTATATACAAAGCACATATTTTCTTACGCTGCAGACAGAGTGACGACTCATTGAACTGAACGAATGAGCTGGAGTTAGCGGTGTAGATATCGTCGCTTGCGCTGAAGCTTTGATCAACGACATCTTCGTGTGGAACCAGATTTGATTCTCAAACCTCAAAAATCGAATCCAATTTGATTTTCGAGTTTTTAGCACGTTTCCTACCGTTTGGATTTAAATATCCATCCATTCATCCAAGAGTTATAAACAGAAAGATAACAAGGTAGAAAAGAAAGATACTCGTCCAATCTCAGTTCAGGGAAAAGATGGGTTTGATTGTCGACTAACTGAAGTCAGGCGGAAGTGAAACTTCAAATGAAAGAAAAGTTTTTTAAAAATACTGAAATATCCAAAACGAAACGCTGTGCCATTATTCTGTAGGCTTTAGGTTCTACCATGGCAACAATCAGGCAAATAGTTTAAACTTTTCCATATAGCGACTTCGGTCCTTAAGATAGATCTATGGGCTGTGGATCTAGCCTAGAGCATTGTTGTCTACTAGAAAATTGTTCGAAGAAGCCGCAGAATCAAGAAACAAGCGAAGAAGTAATTACGACATACTTGGAGGAAGTCTAGGGTTGTTACTTATAGCAGGGCTCCATCACTCGCTCAAGGTTGCGCGATAAGTGAGATTCAGAACTCTTCGATAATCGTTCAATTGGATGTTTGATGATGTGTGTCGTTTTCGAATCGAAGGGCGCTTTCTGAGCTATTCAGAACATTCGAGTTAAACGTTAGATTCGGATTCGGATACGATATCGTTATCCAACAGCGTTTATGGAGTTCGTCGGTGAAATAGATTATAAGAAAAATGAAAATCCTGAGTATACGTTTTTAAGACTTTAAAGACCTAAAATCATCGAGTATACCACCAGAAATAGAGACGAAATGTCATTTAATTTGTTTGAAAACTATTAATCCTACTACTGCCAAAACAAACTGCGCTCCGATTGGCCAGCACGAATTCGAAACAATTGACGGGTGTCGTCAATTGTTTCACTTCAAATCGGCCAGTTTAACTTGAGCTTTGCTATAGTGGACGATAATTGAAAAATTGCATATTAAATATTTCATATTTAATTAAAGATGTTAATTATAAATATTAATTAAAAATAGTAAAACACTTTATTAAATTTTATTTAAAATAAAGTGTTCTAAGACACCAAAAGCTGTTTTAGAACTCTTTAAATATTCAAAAAATTAAAATAATTGAAAAAAGAACACGTTTTATAAATTAAATACGATACATTGTATGAACTCTGACATTCATTTATTGCGTAATAATTAATCCGAAGACTTTTTTTTCAGTAATAAATTTTTCATTAATATTAGAAACAAATCGTTTTTCTAGCCAAGCTCGAAATCTTGCCGTTTTTGGTTTTTGCCATTTCTGAAACAGGCGAGGAACCATAGTGATGTGACGACGTATTGTCTGTAGACATAGAGGTCATAAATGCAATGCCACGTTACAATGCCATGACTCATGATATTGAATTCCGAAACTGATAAGCCATTTATCACTTAAAAAAATATTTCATGACCTTGGATTCAAATCTGAAGGATATTTCATGACCTTGGATTCAAATCTGAAGGAGGCCCTAATGTTTGAGATAATAAACCTAAAATTTATTTTAAACGGTACTTAATAATAGGAGAACAAAATTAATTCATTGTGAGACCTATTATTACTACACAACTCGAATCGTTATTTTGGATGGTGGTACTAGTGGGAACAAAAGTTCCTCTAGTACTACCAGTGGTACTTATCTGTGGTACTAGTATAAACGAAAGTGAATTTTTCTATAGTATTAACTATGAAAAATGTAACGATTGTCAATTGTAAGTTCGATTAAAATTTTCTGGTCGAATACACATTGTGAAAATTCGTATTTTTTGAAAAGCCATATTCGAATTCGTAACGTGTGCCTCTAGCAATTTTTATACAATATAATCGGTATTATCATGTGATTGAATTTTATATGCCCATGGACAGTATAAACAAAAAATACGTATTCTTTTTATTTCAGGGCTAACGTAACTTAATAGTAATAAGAAAGTAGCATTTTCCATGACAGTAGACTATAGAGTGTAATTTTGCCAACAGATAGCGGCAATAGCCGAGGGCCGGCCGTGGAGTCCCTCGGACTACAAGCCTGAGACGGTAGAGAAGCCTAAGGAGGATTATACCCAATCGCGGGACTTCTACTCCTCGGGAGATAGCACATTCCATCACAGCGGCTCAGACAATAACATCAGTTATCAGTGAGTATATTTTTATTACAAGCACATCAACAAGGCACATAACCTAGAATCTATAAACAATTATGTTTATCAAGTAAAGAACTATTATTAATTTAGAATGTAATAACACATTAATAAATACCCATAAATTCAAAAGAAAAAACAAAACTTACACAACAAAATATACAAATAGGAAATGAAACTATTTTTCCGGATTTAAATCGCGTATATTTGTTTTTTCAAACAAACCGACGTTTCGGGCCCTTTACAGGTCCCATGGTCACGGTTGACACAAAATATACAAACTTAAGTCAAATTCGCATAATCTTTTCATTGTATGTTCCAGACACTGGTATAATATAAAATTGTACAATGCAATTAATTCCACTAAAATCCAGTTTAAATGCGCTCGATGCGCTAATATGTTACCGCAAACAAATATGTTTATTCATTATATCAAAAATAAGGTTCAATGTAATACCTCTCACCTGTTGTATAGCGATAAAATATTGAAATATTGAAGTCTATTGACGTGTCAATACGAAAACCTATTTGTAATAAGAGCCATATTACTGTGTTTTCTGCACGCGTATATTTTCAGTGTGTAAAGGTTTGTATTGCAATATTGTGTTCTTTCGCGAAAAATTGTTTGAGCAGATTCAACTTGTTTGGAGGAGAATAGAACAATAGAGAGTCAAACGGCTAGGCGAAACACGTGCTACCCGCATACTGTACACAACTAGTTTTTACACCTTTCAGTTTCAAACGGTTAGGTTACATTGTAGAAAAAAATGTATAAAGACCATTTTCTCAATTTTAGTTAGAGAATAATTTTAGTTTATTACTAAATATTTGAAAAACATTGAAAGACACGTGCCAGTTGTGGATAAGGTCCACTGCTCCTTCTGACGCTAGGGTTAGGTCTGTAATAGTTCTACATCTTTTATTTATAAAAGTTGGCACTGTACCTTTATTAAGGATTTGAAGGTTAGTTGTGAATAAGTATTCTGTTAGGTTCTTACTTCTATCATTTGCGAGTTCCATGCCCCACAACGGGTGGTGGGCATTGGAGTCAGTAGCCACGACGACATTCTGGACGACATTTCCGTTCTGCTCGAAGTAGTTGATTAGCCGTACCATTTCCTGCGGTGGTGGCACATCAATCTCCGCCATAGAGACAGAGGAGAGCACCACTTCAGACAGGCCCGTGACCGCGTCAGCTAAAAGCTTTACGTGAACCGTTGCGGCCTGGCTGTGGTGGAGGTTGCTCTGGACGATATGAAGTTTACTGAGTGAGGGGGAAACCGCCATAAGAAGAAGATAGCAGCTCCTCGTCCACGTTCTCGCTCAGTCGGTTGTCTCCCATCCCCAACGCGCACTCGTCATCACTGCTGGTCGCCACCGGTTTGACGTCCGCAGAGACGTGGGTCAAGGAGGGCCCTTCACCTTCTCCGGGGATATCAGAGGAGGTGGAGGGCTCCGGGGAGACGTCCATCCGTGTCGTTGTTGTGCCCGTCTTCTCAGGTGGCACATCGGTGTACAGGCCCCTCAGGACTATGCTGCTGCAGCTTGTGAACAACACAGCGGTGTGCCTCCGCCCACGGATTTTGCCACTTGAGGATGCGGCCGATTCGACGCGCATCCTCCCAGTGGCCAGGGATGATTAGTCCGCAGACCACCCTCCGGGGAGCCTGCACTCCATTTTTCAATGAGAGAGGCTCCCCGGACGGCAGCCTGATCGCGCTAATGGCATCCTTTAGCCACTGGAAAATGGCTGTGTCCTGACACTGTAGACAGGTTTACCTCGAAACTGTGGTCTGACGTCTTCCTCCCGCACTCCTCCGCTCCTTGCGCAAGGCGCTGACATAGGGCCTGAATGATGTGGACATCGGGGCTCCGTATTTAGCCAGTTTTGGCTGATGTGATCGTAGATTCGATGCTGGGCGGGCCTCTCAACCTTTTGCCGCTTGTGCTCGCCTCTAGGAGATAATGTCTCGTCAAGGCGGGCACGTGTGGCAATGGTCGAGGACCTCTACATGGTCTCTGCCGGTTTGCTGTTAAAAGGGAGGGGTCCCTTCCAGGGGAGTGCGCGACCGACCCATTTGACCGAGCTGATGCAGTCCCGGGCCACTCGCGCCACCCACTGGGGCCCTCGCCTCTCCATCCTTCGGCAGGGGGCTGTTTGCATTGCGACGCTCGCGTTCTCTTCGACGGCCTTTCTTGTTTTTTCGGGCAGGGCGTCCCCTGCTCCCACTGGGGGCTGGAGTTGGACGTTCGCCATGGTCACTTGTCCCTTCCTTACGGATGGATGCCGTGGCCTTGGATTTGGGCTGGCGACTCACCAGGGTCCACCCTGCCTCAAGGGCCATGTTTGAACCCGACGTGTGAGCGGGGGCCGCAGCAAAACAAAAAAAAAAACATTAAAAATTTTTTTCTGAAACAATCAGCTTTTCAAGAAATTATCAGGAATATTATTATGTATCATGTGAAAAAAAAATCAGCTCTGTATTCCTAAAATTGTTCCATAATTAAATAATAATTTAGCCTAAAATTTATACTTTTAATTTCGGTTATTTTTAATTACCTTCAGATTAATTATATTCAGGTTGTTGGACTTTATTCACTGTTTGTAATGGATGACATATTACACACAGATTACACGAAGCTCATGTATTTTGTTACAAAATTACATATAAGAGTTACCAATTTCGCCGCACCTTTACTCACAAAGCCGCAAGTACATGCAGATTATTTTTTTCTACATAGAAAATGATTGGAACTATACTGTAAGTAACCCACGCACATTAGATTTTCGTATATTTTAAGATAAAAAATAAAATGTACATTGGTCCATACAAAAAAAAATATTTTTTTTCTCTGTATCTATCAATTTTTGAAGAAATCATACAAGAATAAAAGTTGTTAGGAATGTTATTATATATCACGTAAAAACATTTGCTCGATACTCCACAAGTTATTCCTATGTCCAAGAATTATCAATTTGGGCCCATTGTGTGGCGTTCCGATATGACTCTTTGGAACCAATGCAATATCTGCGATATTTAATGCGATATCATACTTTTTGGAATTACAAATAAAATTTAAAAAATGTTACTTCTCACGTTCGGTGTTTTCAGCCTAAAATCACCGTAGCCATTGTCTTTTCTCGCTTCTTACACCCAGTAACATTGAAATATGAATAATTTTAAAAGGGAGCAGAGGAAAAATCCGTAATGTTCGATTTGATTTTAGAGGGGTATGTCCACTTTAAAGTTAAAAATAAAATATTGTATGAGTAACTACACGATATATTCAAGCATAGACATTAATCAGAAACATAAAACAATAAAGTTTCCTCGATACATAAAAATCACGAAATGAGCTCTAATTTTCACATTTTTTCGATTTATCCTCGAAATGCTACAGGTTATTAGGACAATAATTAGATAATTAATTATATTTATGCATGATCAACAATTGTCACTACGGAATTTTTTTAATCCCTTTTGTTTTAGAGTTATTCCGCTAAAACGAATTTGGTACTTTTAATGCGTAAAATTCAACATCTCCTGTCGCATGTCACGCGAACTTCAGGCATATATTTGTTTTATAAATTTGGGCGGAGCCAACGACATCCAGTGTACCAATAGGTACTAAATACCCGGCTACGCTATCTTGTATGACGATTAGCAGTTCTCTTGAGTTATTGGTCCATGGTGTCCATGTTATTATGTTTTTTTAATTCACTCTTCTGACTTTCCACCTACCACGGAGCCCGCACCTTTGGGGATGTCCCATTCGGGACACCAGGATTGTCAGGAGAGTATAGGTGCGGGTGCTAGGAGCTCACTGCGCGACATCGGGGGCTCGAAATGTGCGGCTGGCTGAACTGATCAAAGTCAGCCAGGTGTTCCGCACATACCGTCAGCATGGCCGAGTCCGTCTCTCCCGCACCTCGCCTGTGGGCCACTGACGGGACACAATGCCATTTTCCTGTGTTGGCTAATCACAGGGCTACCGTTTGGCAGGAAATCAGGCGTATTGCTTGCCGGGGTCCCCACCCCGCTCGGGCTCAACCCCCCAGCATTCCTTCATCCCTGCGTACGGTGCTCAACTGCGTAGGCATTAACGCAGGAGGGTGTAAATTTAGACTGCCCACCACGTGCCATAGTCCACCCCCAGAAATACATGGCCGGGCCGTGTTGATCGCTTCTCGCCCACACTGTCAGTTCTCAGACTGAAGCCAGGAGTTGTCAGTTAAGGCCCCAGGGTGTACCGGATACATCCTTGGGCGTTCTGTGACAACATGTTATCACAGACTGCTCAAGGACTTAGCACACGTGGAGGTGGAACAACTAACACGCCCCTTATATACTGAATACTGCCGTTATTAAGTAGTGTTTGTGTTAGCAAGTAAGTGTAAAATGATTGTGTGGAAAAGCAGAACCTACGGCGGGGTAATAAGCTAATTATATCGAAAAATATTGTATTGTGCGGCGGCTGTATCGAAAATCGACGGAAACAAAATTTTCCCCCAAGTTATGATTGAAGCCATGCCATTTTGAGTCGAATTAGAGCAAATTTTTATTTGCCGCCATAAAACGCTTGTATGGCGGTCATATTGAAATATGGCGAAAAGTTAATAATAATAATAATAGTTTTTTTATTTAAGACAACATAGGTCCACTTGTTAGGTTTACAGAAGCCTTAAATACTATGTTAGTTTATAAATAATTCAATATTCATAAATGTAATAAAGTAAAATACAATCAAAAATTAAAATTAAATTAGAATTTGATATAAAACTGCAAAAATTTAACTTTAAAAACTAAAAATTAAAATATGATAATAAAGTTACAGAAACATTTTTAAATGGAAATAATATAAACAAAAATAAACATTAAAATTGAGTAAAAGAAAATAAAATAAAAATTGCCCCATCTCCCAGCTTGGTCTACATTTTGATTTAATTTAAAATTTTTTAGTGGGTTGCCGTACCACTACGCTAAAAAAATGCTCAA